AGACTCAAAGTTTCCAGGCTTCATCCCAAGTCGAGGATCCCTCTAGGGCTCCCGCTCAACGATGCACTAGTCTCTAGAGACCCGATATTCCAAGCCCTTTTCCCGAGAAGAAGACTCAGTCGGGGATCCCACTCTAGGACGTTCACTCGTCTTCGAAAGACTCGAAGTTCCAAGACTTCATCCCCAGTCGAGGACCCCTCTTCATACATTATATTAAATTGTGTCATACACAATTAACTCAAATTCCCTTTAATTAAATTTGAACAATTCAAATTCCTTCAAGAATTAATGTCCTTAATTACCTTTTACGAGCTAGCAAAGGGACCTAATGGACCTAAAGATCAAAAGCTTCGACGTTATGAGATTAATTGGTTAAACTCATTAACCACCTTAATCAACATAAGTTAACTACGGATTACTCGACTAAAAACCCATAGCTGAACTCTTATCACCATAGAAAATTTCTATGTCCATGGATATCGACCATTAACAGCAAGTCAATCTTTCACGAGTGTTTGTAACCATAGATGGGTCAAATTACCGTTTTATCCCTATGTTACATTTTGTACCTTAAGTACCGCCGATCCTCTAATGAACAACCCGATTATGGTCCGATAACGAACCAGAAGTCCTTCTCGGGCCAGTGAGAGGGAGGGGCCCCTTGTTCAAGTCTCGGAGTCAGCACTAAAGGGAATAATCATCTACGCCCCAGAAGTCGAGGAGGAGAGAATTCCATCTTTTGTAGTTATGTTCTCAGCTCCCCACTCGGTCTCATCCCCAAAATGGTGGGAATATTGAGTCGGCGACTCGGACCACTCACACCCATACAGATCAAAGAACGAGCCCTCACGGGCAGGAGTCCATAACTCACTCAAGTTCGAGAATGAGTTACATGGTCATCTTATGAAATGACAATCTTTTAGTCAACGGCGTTACATCTAAAGATTGATTATTTTGTGGTCCGATCTTATAAAAACTCATTGTATAGGATACCCCTACTCGGATGTCTCCACACAAACGGCCTAAATCGAGTCGTCTGTAACATTTACAAAGTGTGCC